TGAGTTCGCTATGAAATCTCGACCGAGCCCCCCCCCCCGTGGTCGAGATTTTCGTGGTTGAGTTCAACCACGGTCCAAAACTGTCTCACGTAACGAGACACGTCGGCTCACACGTTGTCGCAGACGTGTACAAAATATTCCTTCGCTAACCAAGGTTTGTCGAACTCAACCACGAAACTCGACCATGGTCGAGTGAGACCTTGGTTGAACTCAACCACAGTCTCAACCACGAAATTTCGGGTCTCACGATCAAAAAACCGAACCGAAGCGTCCGATCGAAAATTCTTTCCATCGTGTCCGCGAAACGCGGTGATGACACCTTGGTTTAAACCACGGTTTCAAGACCGTGGTTTAAACCATGGACTTCTCATAAGAAGAGCGGTTAGGGAATCTAATGAGGGCATCTGACAGCGCGTTGATATTGACCACCGCTGCAGCGCCACTAAGAAGAGCGGTTAGGGAATCTAATGAGGGCATCTGACAGCGCGTTGATATTGACCACCGCTGCAGCGCCACTAAGAAGAGCGGTTAGGGAATCTAATGAGGGCATCTGACAGGTCTAATGCCATCGATTATAAAGCCATGCAAAAATCATAGAGGTAGACCGCGCCCTGAATACTGCGCTTCATGTCATCAAAGAAACAGGGTATTCCCAGAGCACAAACAGTTGCACGCCGGATGGAGCATGCAATCAGGCGACCTATGAAAGCACAGGATTGAAGACACCGGTAGCAGACTGTGTGGGCATGGAGGATGAAACACACTGTCAACTCACTTGTGGGGGCTGGAAGGATGAATCGCAAGGCCGAAGACGCGGTCACGATTCCGATGGCACATGCCAACAAAGTACCTCTGCACCATCCAATCACGTTTCCGCACTCATTCCGATGAAAGTGCCAACGATCACAATCACCATCACCATTCATTCTGGTAAGCGTACACAATCGCAATACCGCCGCCGCTCATTCTGGGTAAAGTGTCCACCGTCTCATTCACCGTTCGCACAACCAATACTAAAATCAAACGCAAATGTCATTAGTGCTAGTATTTGTTAAGGCGATACCAAATGCCATCGCTCAAAATTAAAATGAAAAAAAAGAAAACCGTTTTTTGAGGTCTGGGGTGATCGCTACAACTAGTATCAAAATGCGTTCCCATACCACTACCCTAGTACCTGATACGATTCAGTACCGGCTGCATCTTGTTGGCGGAGAGCAGGCGATCGCGGCTCAGAACCTCTGGTGACTTGGCCCAAATTTGTCCATCTCCCAACCCATCTTCGCGGTATTCCACCTGCACCACCACACACCCGGCGCGTCAAACAGCGGTATTCACCATGCCACACACCTGGCGCGTCAAACGGCGGCATTCCACCTGCACCACCACACACCTGGCACGTCAAACAGCGGTATTCCACCTGCACCACCACACCTGGCGCGTCAAACAGCGGTATTCCACCTGCACCACCACACACCTGGCACGTCCAAACAGCGGTATTCACCTGCCACCACACACCTGGCGGCGCGTCAAACAGCGGTATTCCACCTGCCAACCCCCACCCCCTCCCACCCCCACCTCCACCTCCGCCTCCACCTCCGCCAACACCTCCACCTCCGCCACCACCGCCACCATCACCTCCCTCCCCTACTCCTCCTCCACCTCCGCCACCCCCCACCCACCTTCTCCTCCCCTGCTACCACACACCACAGCGCGTCAAACAGCGGTATTCCACCTGCACCACCACACACCTGGCGCGTCAAACAGCGGTATTCCACCTGCACCACCACACACCTGGCGCGTCAAACAACGGTATTCCACCTGCGCCACCACACACCTGGCGCGTCAAACAGCGGTATTCCACCTGCACACCACACATTCCTGGTGCGTCAAACAGCGGTATTCCACCTGCACCACCACACCTGGCGCGTCAAACAGCGGTATTCCACCTGCACCACCACACACACCTGGCGCGTCAAACAGCGGTATTCCACCTGCACCACCACACACCCGGCGCGTCAAACAGCGGTATTCCACCTGCACCACCACACACCTGGCGCGTCAAACAAGCGGTATTCCACCTGCACCACCACACACCTGGCGGCGTCAAACATGGTAATTCCACCTGCACCACCCACACACCCCTGGCGCGTCAAACAGCGGTATTCCACCTGCACCACCACACCTGGCGCGTCAAACAGCGGTATTCCACCCCCACCCCACCTTCTCCTCCCCTGCTACCACACACCTGGCGCGTCAAACAGCGGTATTCACCTGCACCACCACACACCTGGCGCGTCAAACGCGGTATTCCACCTGCCACCACACACCTGGCGCGTCAAACAGCGGTATTCCACCTGCACCACCACACACACCTGTTGCGTCAAACAGCGGTATTCCACCTGCACCACCACACACCTGGCGCGTCAAACAGCGGTATTCCACCTGCACCACCACACACCTGAGGCGCGTCAAACAGCGGTATTCCACCTGCACCACCACCTGGCGCGTCAAACAACGGTATTCACCTGCCACCACACCTGGCGTCCGTGGCCCCCAAAGTGATGGGCTCTGCTCCACCGGTCACAAGCCTTGGCCTAGCAAATTGCAACTGGCAGAGCATTCTCGTACCGTAGCAGATAGTAGACGATCATTGACTCTATCCCACCCGCTGTACATGCGCAGCATCAGGACCGTCAGTCCCACGAGCGAGCAAGCGCCTGAAGTGGCCCCGACCTGCAACGCCTGCATACGCTCCGCGTGCCCCAGTAAACCCCGACCCGCTGTCCGCCTGTTGCGCTTGCACTTGTATCGCTGAGACCTTGAGAGCATCTGCGTGTTCCTGTCTTCCTAGAAAAACTAGAGTCATTCAAGGAATGCCTTTACAAGATTCCGTTTAGCGTTTTACATACGCTCAACTCTTGTGTTGCTTCAAACGATGTTTGATCTTACGCATTCGGCGCGCTTCGTCAGAGATGAGAAATACCTCAACCGGAGCCTGCGGACTTTTAGCAGTTTTAGTAAATTGCCATCGATCAATCTGAGCTTGTGCCACGGACTGTGGCGGTGCCGGTTCAAACCATCCGAGAGTAGCCGACATCCTGACAAGTGTGCAAGCAGGTGCCCATGCCGGCACCTGGCCACACGGATCAAATCACAGATGTGGCCTGAAAGCGGCTCGATGACTGGCGATGGAAGTGCACTAAATGAACCAAAATGAATGGGAACGGCCGGCACATGAGGGTGCACCTGGGTCTGCAGGCTGTATGAACCTGCTGCTACTGGGACTAGTACACACGTCCCAACGAGCCACACGCAAGCTGCCACATACCCACACACAGAAATCCCCAATATGCAGCCTTGCATCCACAGAAGGCCTCGGGCCGCTCGTGCCGTGTGGCCGCCTTTTCGATGCGCACTGTCTTTACCGCGGATGCTTGAAGCAGTCTAGCTGGATGCGCCCTTGGCTACCGTCACCGAGTGCAGAGTTAGCTCATACACTAATAACTGATACGGTAATAAGCGTTCTGCTGGGACTTTGGC